AAAAAAAAGAACATTTATCATCACACTAAACATCTTTGTTTAATTATAAAATTATCTTAAGCACGAAAAGCTTATGTAATAAATTATACTAAAACAAATTATACTCCTCCTACAACCTCTATTACAATAGGCATGACTCTATGTTTAACACCACATAACTCAGCACAATATCCTAAAAATACACCATGTTGAGATGGACTAAAAAACAAATGTTTTAATCGACCAGGTATTGCATCCATCTTTAAATTTAAAGATGGTACTGAAAATGAATGAATAACATCAGCAGAAGTAACTACCAAATGATAAGGAAGACCATATATCAAACGTAATGGCTTATCAACATTAAATACATCATCACAAATAAAAGAATCATATTTACCCCCACCTTTATAATCATATGATCAATACCATTGATGACCTATAATCTTAACAGTTTCAATAGACAAACAATCTAATCCTCTAGTAATAAATTTTACTTTTAAAGCACACAAAACCAATACAACAAAAGTAGGAATAATAGTCCATAATAATTCCACACTTTGATTATCTGAACCACATTTTACTCTACCTTTACTTCTAGTGTTTCAATAAATCATAAAATACACAAAACATATTATAAAAATACAAACAGCAATTATATAACAAACAATATCATAATACAACAAAGATAATTTCATTGACACTAATTGATAAAACAATTAATAATTAACCCTAAATTCATTTGGGGTTACCATGTTACGACTTACCTCAACAATTATCGAGGGTGACGGGCGGTGTGTACCCAAGCTAAACCCATTTCACATAGACAAACTAATTCTATATTACTTTTAAGTCCTAAATTTACATCTATTCACATGATGAATATACTATAAATGTAACGCATGAAATCTTTTACAAGCAGCACATAGACTTGGCTTAAATATCAAATACACAAATTAAGCTACTAAGCAATAATATCAAACCAGATATACACCAACATAATAAAAGTAAATTAATAGGCGGACCATCCTTTAAAACACACCTTCCCCTAATAGGATTCACTCGCTGCCAAACTATTTTAGTTAAAAAACTAAGAAAATTTAAAAATTAAATTAATGGGGTATCTAATCCCTGTCACTAAAATAATATTCACTCTAAATATGAACAACAAATACAAAAAAAAGAAAATTTCACCAAACCTTCAAATTAATTATCCAAACAAATTCTATAAGAAAGCAAAGAAAACAGACTAACCGCGGATGCTGGCACTGTGTCCTATCCCCTTCTTACATAACACTCTTAAAAGACATTGATCCTAATAAAAAACTAACTGCTAATAAAATTAAAATAGTTCTATAACCAATCATAATAAAACAACTTTATGCAATTAATGTTACATAACTTCCTATTGCCATAGTTAAACAAATAAAGTATGAGACAACTAAATTATCTTATAAAGTTTTTGCAAAACTTTAACCATTAAGGTAGCATACTCAAAAAAATAACCTACAATCCTTTCGTACTAATAGGTAACACAAATAGATAAGAACCGACCTGGCTCACGCCGGTCTTAACTCAACTCATGGAGGTAATACAGGTCGAACAGACCTAAATAACAAACAACTGCGCCCATTATATTTACCTAAGTCAACATCGAGGTGGCAACCAACTAATTCGATATGAACTCTAATTAATTATTACACTGTTATCCCCGGGGTAACTTAACTCAATATACTATAAAGGGTCATAATATTTTTGAAAAAAAAAT